AAAATTCCTAGGCATGCAACTGTACTCAAAATTAAGTTAGAAAAGTCATATACACTCGCTAAGCCTATCGTGCCAAGCTGGACTAAACATTATGAAATCTGTATCACATAAAAATTGGGGAGCAGATTTTCCAACTCTAATAAATATATGTAGAGCTTTAATTAGATCAAAACTGGACTACGGATGTGTTGTGTATAACACACCAAATCAAACATTGCTTAAAACTTTGGATACTCTTCCGAGTTCAGCCGTTAGACTTGCTCTAGGAGCATATTGCACCAGTCCTGTGGACAGTCTACTCTGTGAAGCTGGAGAACCACCCTTAATCCTAGGAAGTAAATATTTAAGTCTATCGTATGTCTCGAATATAAAATCTAACCCAAAAAATCCAGCTCTTCATCATGCTGTTGCTAACAGGTTCTAGGAGGTCTATCAAAAAAGAAATAGGGGTCCTGTACCTTTCTATGAACGAGCCAATAGATACTTATTCGATTTTAATATTGAACTACCTCCCATTTATCCTACCTGTGTAATAAATTTATGTTTTCCTTGGGTTGTTCCCTCTTCGCTTTGTAACCTTTAAACTTACAGCATATTATACCATATATGTATATATATATATATATATATACATAAAATTCGTGTAAAGTTAGTGTATATAAAATTACCATTTTATATACACGAACGCATCAAGGCCATAAATCGAGTAGGAGCATGCTTTGTAATATCACATGAACATTCCATCTATAAATTGTCAAATTGTCTCCTAAGACAAGTATTTTTACAGAAGAACTATTTGCCATTATTAAGGCCCTAACCTTTATTCTAGAAAAAAAAACTTCCCAAATCTCTTATAATATCTGATTCACTTAGTTATCTGACATCCATTTCTCAGATTTATCCCTCTCATCCAACATTATGTACAGCAGATTAAGTTAGCAAACAAAATTATATACATGATGACGGTATAAAAGTCGGAGATGCCACACTGGACAGAGTAGAGAAACTCGTGTATCTCGGCAGTAATATCAATGAGAGCTGGGATCCAACCGCAGAAATTAAAAGCCGAATAGAACAAGCCCGAGCTGCCTTTGTAAAAATGAGAAACGTACTTTGCAGTCATGATCTTAGCATTGACCTTAGAGTTCGTATGATATCTTGCTACATCTTTCCTGTCCTGCTGTATGGAGTAGAAGCGTGGACCCTAACTGAGGCTATGCTTAAACGCTTGACCGCCTTTGAGATGTGGGTATACAGACGACTACTAAAAATAAGCTGGGTCGACAGAGTTAGAAATGAGGAGGTCCTTAGACGGCTGAACCAAACAACACAACTGGTCAATATAATAAAGAAACGCAAGCTGGAATACTTCGGTCATATTATGAGACACCCTGAAAAATATGATCTTTTACATCTGATCATTCAGGGAAAGATCCAAGGTAATCGTGGTCCTGGTAGAAGAAGAACATCATGGCTGAAAAATCTAAGGCAATGGTATGGAAAATCAACTACATCGTTATTTAGAGCTGCTGTCAATAAAGTCACGATAGCGAATATGGTAGCCAACATGATATCCAACGATCGATAACGGTCATGGAACTAGAAGAAGAAGAAGAAGATTAAGTTAATGTTGTACCATATATACCAAAACAATTTGACAGTAGTTCCTCTGGGTACCGTCACACGCTGGAATAGATAGTAACATAAAGGCAGATAGTCTAGCTAGTTCCGCACTAACCAATTCAGTCGCATCAGTCGAAAATCTAACGGTGCATTTAGATTTAAAACCTTATTTAAAAGTAAAATTGCACAATGTTTGGCAAAATCACTGGAATAGAAGCACAACTAAATTGACAGAAACAAAATCTTCCTTTCTTTCATGGAACTTCTAGCTTTGAAAGCAACAACATTAAGTCCTTATAACACGTCTCAGATTATAACACACTTCTACAATACATAAATACTTGTTGAAGAGAAAAGAGGAACCAGTGCGTTTTGTCTGTGAATGTAAAGTGACAGTGAAGAACATTTTGATTGACTGTCCAATCTACTTAGTTGAAAGATTATATTACCACATTCCAAAAACATTACAAGAACTTCTAGGAGAATCTAAATATGTAGCTGACTTGATAGAATTCTTGAAATCAATAACTTTTTTAATAAAATTTAATACAATACATTAATAATTTAAATATATATTGTATGCATTATTATGTAATTGATATTTGGTTTATGCCTTAAGTCTTTATCACTTTTTGTATTTTTCTTATGCTAATAACCCTAAGTGGTTGAAGCAAAATAAATAAAAAATAATACGACAATTTTTAACCTCATTATCATATCACTACAAATCCGTATCGAATAAGAACACATACTAAATTAAGAAAGCTCTTATAACGATATTGTCTAGGAAAAAAATCGCTTAAGGTAGATCGGACACATGCATAGACGCCAAGATGTCAAACTTGTAAAACTGTATGGAAGGAAGTTAGCACAGAAGAATGCCACTTAAACATCTCAATATACAATGGAGAGACAACATACAATCAAATTTTAAAAAATAAACATTTCATTTGATTGCAGATCCGTGGGAAGATCGGTCAACTTGGAGAAAAATAGTAGTTAGCGAAGACCCACTCAGTGTTGTAGCGCTACGTAATGATGATGATAAAGAGAAAGGAGAAACAGTGACAAAAATCAACAAAAATGGACTAATGGAGCAAAGCTGCTTCAAAATCTTTGACTGGAGAGGATTAAAATAAAAGTATAAGAAATGCAATGGCTGATTGATGGATTCGAGATACTTGAGGCTTGAGAAGAGCACTCTGCCGAAACAGCTGTAGTGATAAGATAGAATTAATTTTGTCGAAGTTTTAAAAATAAAGTTTTCAGTGTTTTATTGTTAAATAAAATGGCGTTTACGTACGACATTATATACGCTATAATAACTAGACAACTTATATAACACCGACATATAAGGAGAAAGTTTACTGAAACAATAAACTACTCAATATTTGTTATGAGTGGAAACGATATAAATAAACAAAATGCAGATAAAGAAACAGAAGACAACAAAGAACGTTTTAAATTGATTAATGTATTCAATTTTTAACAATGTATATTTAAAGGTCATTGTCAGAGCCAATGTGCTAAATGTATGTAAAATAAAACTGTTTAAGGTAGATATGTTACTAATACATCTAAAACTAAAAACAATCGATGTTTATATGAAAGATGAAACCGTATGACACACTACCGTGCAATGTCCAGGATCCGGTATCGTAATAAGAAGTAAAATTTCACTTCCAGGCCATTGAAATGTGTTACATTTTACTTTAGATATTCTTTTTATGAATATAATAAGTAAACAATATATAGTAAGCTTCATCTTCTTATTGTGCCGTATTCTAATAAAGGTTGGTGATTACTTCTTTAAACACTTCACATAAATTATTATTGTATAAATTTAACTACTCTATGAAACAAATATTGCACGTCATAAACTACAGTAATTGAAAAACTATAAAGATCTGTTTTCAGAGTTCTCTTTAATCTTATGTAGTTTATTGTAATCCTACCGAAAGGCTTCTACTTTCTTCAACTATTACAAGATAACTCTACTCGATATTCGTACATTTAGAGACTAAATGTTTAAGTGCCCATGCATTTAAAAAAAAATAATATATTAAATGGAAACTAACCTTTTTCAAGTTTATTATAGTTACTTTTTTAAGTTTGAAAATAATTGTAATTAATAAAGTAATTGAAAATAATAAGCTCCAAAATGTACCGGCTATAAAATTTTAAAATCTACTACTAATACTAATATTGGCAACATCGCAGGAGTTTAGAAGTGTACGCGAAAAGTTATATACGGGCCCCAAAAATGTTTTATCCTATTACAGAGTCCACTTGATCCGACGTGTTGGTCGGAGTCTACATAAAGCGCTACTTAGATAATAATATACACGGCGTATATTCTCCTGGAGTTCGTATAATACCCTTTTATTACGGAGCCTACATTAACCGCTAGAAGTATATATATATATATATATATATATATATATATATATATATATATATATATATATATATATATATATATATATATATATATATATATATATATATATATATTATACAAAAAACCGAGTATTTAGTTACAGTAGAAAAATCAGAAAGCCTACAAATATAGATATATGTTATATACGATATAGATATCTGTTAGTTATCAGTCATTTTTACAAAAGTCAATTTCCGGTCATGTCAAAAACTCCTTTAAAACGAAATGTTGCAGCAATAATAGCAAACTTTATTAAATGTATTGTAAATAAAGTAAACTAAATTTTACATTTATATTTATAATTCAAAACCGTTTACTCATCAGCTCAACTATTTACTTATATGTTCAAAATGATATCTACCAAAGTCAAATATCTACTTTACCAAAGTCAATAAAATTATAAGTCGCTGTTAAAATTACGACCATTTACCATCAGATTAAATTAGATAAGACCAGTTTAGAGCTTTCCAGAGATTAATACACTACATTCATGCACTATTCTTAATCTTGGTTTTTCCAGTGAAGCGGGAATGGTATTATCAATCTTACTTTTTGAATAACCCCAAATGAAGAAGTCCAGGAGAGCTTTTTGTCTTATTCGTAGATACTCGCTTTTTAAAATGGTCATACTAAGACACTATTTTAATACTTTTTTATTAACTTTAACGTCATGTGTAGCTTACATCATCTTAGGAGAATATACAAACAATCCACTCTAACTTCAGTGTTTATGAATCCACAGTTTTTTTTATGTCCAAGTTTTTTGTGCCCCTTACATATAAATTTTATATAGTGTATCTAAAATTTATATTAAGAGGTATAAAGAGATAGGATCTCTTATTAAAAGCCCTGTTTAAGGTATTTGTCTTCAAAAGGACTTATGATATCCTCGCTAATCTTGGCACACCTCTCGTTTTCCCCGAAACGAGGAATAGAAATGTGTAATAAGGTAGCAATTAAAAAAAACAAAGAACTCGGTGAGTACTTTGTGAGCTTTTATCATTATTTAACAGTAAAAATATTAAATGTACAGTTGAGAAATATTTGTGGCAATGACTAAGGAGGAATTCTCGTATGTAAATGACATTCACCTTCAGTTAGCTGTCTACTATTCTCCAGCTAGTTGTGTGAGAACCGAGTACTATCGAAAAAATAAAAAAGTAGTAACGAACAGTAACAAAAGACATGTCTGCGCATTATGCAAAGAATGTGGGTCGATGTACCCATGGGCGTCTCCTCATATGAATTTAGGGTGGGAATCGTTGTCCGTGTATGGGATGGCGTTTTGAATTGACCTAGAAATTGGAATAATACAAGGTTTAAACATTGTTGTTGTCTGAATTTTTAACATGTAATCATTATTTGTTTTACCAATATTAGATGCGGTATAACTAGAATGAAGATAATATAAAATTACTTTTTATTAAACATCGTGGCCTGATTTATCACTTTTATAATTAATAGTAATTATGGAATTATTTCGATTATTAATAAATTGAGATTTTTTTTATTATTTGGTTTATTAAAGTATGATTGGTATTAGTAATATTTTATTTATGTCCTAGCATTTTGTCGTAATTTTATTATTTACTGATTATTCTTAATTTTTTAAGAATAATCAGTAAAGAATAATTTTCCCGACGCTAGGAAAACAAAATGTAAAATCCTAATAAAAAGCCTTGGATACCAGACGGAAACAAAAAAACATGAACTCAGCAGTGAAAACTAAAAATTGATATAGGTAGTTGGAGTGTAAAGAGTAAAAAATAGATACCATAAAACTTTTATCAAGTTAATACAATGGAAAAGGGACATACTGATACTAACTGAAATTAAGTGTGTAAAGTCAATTGGCGGCTTTACCTTAGCCTATATATTACCAGCATAAAAAGTTGCAGAGCGTGGGTTTAATTCCTGGCACTGACACCAAAAAAGTTTTTTTAATTTCTAATTTAACTGTTCCCTGTGGAGTTGTCTGTGTCCTATCGAACGCTGCTCTAGGTGGTGGATAGGGGAACGCCCTAACAGGTCCTAGGGCCGTCGGGTAGATAAGAAATAAAAAACCTCCCGCGAACCAAAACAGACTAGGGAATGCCAACCCTAAAAGAAGAGTCCATGGCCCTCCAGGTTAAGGGTTGGGCTAGAGCCCAACAACCTCATCCTGTAAAAAACAATATGTTAAGGAACTTACGGCGGCGAATCTGCAAACAAAAAATGAAATTGAGATTAGGAACATGGAATACCCGAACCCTGTAGCGATTTAAAGCACTCACACCATTACTAGACACAGTGACTTAGATACTAAGTGGATGTTTTAGCATTACAAAAAAATTGATAGACGGAAACTTGTGCACTAGACAAGAGAACCTATTCCATGTATTCTAGCTACAAGAAAAGTCAACAGACAGATGAGGTGGGTTTATTGTAAACCAAAGAACAAAAGGCCCTATTATTGATTTTAAAGCCCACCATCAAAAAATGTAATATTTGCGCTTAAAAGGGAAATTCTTCAATTATAGTTTAATCAGCTCACATGTTTAAATGACGAACCAAAAAAAAATTAAAGAACAGTTCTTTGAAAACCTAAAGCAAGTCTAGAGAAAATGTCCTAGAAATGACACCCAGATTATGTGAGGTGATATAAATGCAAGATTAGAACGAGAGCGAGTTTTATGCCCACTGTAGGAAGAAATAGCTTACACAACATCGGTAGCGTAAATGGATTACAACTGATAAACTCCAAGCACTGTCAGCACTAAATATGACAGTCACTAGTATCTATTTTGAATACAAGAATATACACCAGATAACCTGGACCTCTTTTAATAAAATAATATTGATTCAGATTTATTACATCTTAATAGATTTAAAGCATGGAACAAAAGTAATAAACTGTAGAAGTTAAAGAGCTGCTAACGTAGACTTAGATTATTACCTAGTGATCTCAATATTCAGGGCTAGAATTTCAAACACCAGTAAAGAAAATAATATGGATACAAAAAAATGGAATTTGCAAAAGCTATGAGATACCACAATTGTAGACCGTTACTTAAAAAATATCACCAACAGGCTAAGGAATTAAAATGTAACTGAAGAATAATAAAAAAATATCGACTCCCTCTAAACCAGAATAATGAAAATATTAAACGAACAGCAGAAGATGAAATAGGAACAGTAAATTGTGCTTTTAAAAATCACTACCGACGATGGTTTGATGATTACCAAGATCGCAAGAGTGCAACAAAAGAAAAAAATGAAGCCTACAGAAAGATGCTTACTCGAGGAAGTAAAAACCTGTATACTCCAGTCGTCAGATATGAAAATGCTACTGTACCTCTAAAGATCATACAAACAAACTTAATTGTGCTAAGAATAGTTATTTTGGGATCCCAACAAGATGCGAAAAAGTTTACTTTCTTTATCCCTGGGCTTCTCTGTAGAACTCCCCTCGTAGGGGGGTAAAAACTCAAAAAAATAGATTTACCGAGAATCTGTACGCCGTAGCAAAAAATGTTTCAAATAAAAAATGTAGCCGAGATAATTTTAAACATAAATATGAATTAGTAATTTTTTTGTAGAATGAACCATTTTAACACAAACAATGCTTGAAGCGACCGTCGATTTTGAATGTCAGTTACCGCGCGAAATGAATGTTCAATAAAATTTGTATCAGCTCGACGGTAAAAGTTTTATACCTTTTGATTCAAGTGTCCTAACGACAAAAAATCAAGATAGGGTTTAAAGGTAAAGAGTTGTGCTTTCGTATGGAATTTTTTTTATTTTGCCGCAAATAAACTGATATTTTATAAAAGTGCTAAGTAAATAAACGTGGCGCGATTTTTGCCATTTTTTTGATTTTTATGAGATCAATACAATCTATATATTTCATTGACTAGTTCCTGGCCATAAAAATCTATAGCATAACATTTTAGTTCTGAGTTTTGCAAACAAATGTAAGGCATTTGAAATATGCATAGAAAATAGTTTAAATCGTCTGAACGCGTATACTGGAGCATTGTAAGATACACATAATATGCTATTAAGGCAAAGGCAGACTTTCAGCCATCCTTAAAAATTTATTAATAAGTTTTTTTTTTAAGTTGTAATAAAATAAATTCATAATATTTTGATTAAAAAACCTATTGTTTCTATAGTTTCAATAAAAAAATATTACAACTATTCGATTTATTTTACATGAAGTGGTTTTTATAAGGGTAGATATTATATGGTAAAAAATTTAAACATTAAAACTACTCTAAATTTAATATCACTATAGAATTAAATAGGCTTAAATCCAAATATTCAATAACATTATTGTAATTACAACTAATATAGGAGGTCAGCTTTAGGGGTTAAAATGTGATAAAATATATGCTGTTTAATGTTAATTGGCATTCATTCACTTTATTAAAAAAATATTTGAATCGCTTTTCCGCTTAATAGGAGTTTTCATCAAAAAATATTGCCAGGTTAGTTTAGTAATATAATTAATATAGGTAATTAATATGAAAAATTAATTAAATTAAATTAATGAGTCGATGATAATTTCGTAAACTTTTTAAAGCATACAATGGCAGAGTGGAAGACTAAAATTCATCTTCAAATACCTGCCAGGTATTTCATGCAATTCGGTGGTAATACGGAAAATTAAAAGGTATCGCCGTGTTTTACGTCCATTTACTGGCGTATATGGCACTATATGTAGAATAAGTAGAAAGAAAATATTAGGCTGGTTTCAGAGGTAGTAAAGCTACAATTAATCAGATTGGATCCCTAAGATAAAGTAAAAAAACACTGGAATATGGCATAGATACTCATCACATAATATCTATAGACTAGAAAAGCAATAAGTATGTCACAAATCACGACCACCTGTTAAATATTTAATAAATAGTGCAAATCCTTGTTCTTGCTGATGCTATCAATATTTTTGGAAGAACGGAAAACGCTCTACGAAAAACGTATGAACATGAAAATAAGCACGAAACCACAAATCACAAATGAGAATAAAGATCAAAAAGGGAAGTATCTCTAGCAGTAAGAAAGGAACATAAAAAATACGTAAAGATTTGGACAGCCATAAATAAAAGAGTGATCTGTGTAGATATGAAAATAAAAAAAGAGTCATTCCATCCGAGAAGAGTCATAATAGAAGGTGATTTTAATGCACATGTGGGTCAATCCAAGAAAGATATGACGCAGGACATAGAGGACTAGGCTTTGGACCTAGAACAAATGCTATAGATGATATGCTGCAATTGAGTATTGTTAGCATATTCTTTCAAAATTGAGAATGTCAACTTATCAGTTAAAAAAGTAAAAAAAAATAGTCCCGAATAGATTATTTCATGACAAAAAAAATCATAAGTGCATTTAAGAATTGTGTGGTAAATAGTTAGTTAGACTGTGAGCTAACAGTATAAGTTGCTTTAGTTGGACATTGATGCAATAAAATCCTAAAACAATATAAAGGAATAATATAAGTAATATTAGAGTGACTGCTACAGAAATACTTGAAGAAAACCACAAGAAAAAAGCAAAATTTGAGCTGTGTAAAAAAAAATACAATTCACGAAGAAAAAAATTATGAAAAAAAAAAAATATACATAAACTATAAGTTAGGCAAAATTAAGCAAAATAGCAGTAGTAAAATCTAAAGCAAAAACGTATACAAATCTATAGGATCATCTTGTTAGCAGCGAGCTAACAAAGCAAATATATACAAAATAACCAAGCATATAGCAAAAATCAAAAGATTTTAATCAGTTTGGGGGTACGAAAAAAAAAATTAAAAAACGAAGTGCTAAAGTACTACGAAAAATAAAGTAAAGCAGTTGGGCCAGATGATATCTCTGGGAAAGTCTGGACAGCTTTAGTACAGACAGAAACAAATTCTTTAAAAGGTTTGTTTAATTGAATTATGAAAGTAGGGCTCTCGTCAGACAAGTGGGGAAGGAGTATATTAATATCTGTTTACAAAAACAAGTTATTATACAATATTGCACAAATTATAGAGCCAGAAATGTACTTAGTTACACCACGCTATTAGGGGAAAGTGTAGTTGATACTATGTAGATAACTATAAGTTGATGACAACTATGTAAACAAACAGAAAACTCCGAAAATTTGTTTGGATTTATACAAGATAGATTAACAAAAGAAGCAATTTTTATAATAAGACACTGATATAAAAATACTAGATTAAAGAAACAACCGTTTCTATGGTATTTCTTTATCTTGAGAATGCATATGATAGCTTAGCAATTTTTGGTGGGTATTTAAAGATTGCGAGAGATATGTAGTACAGAGCAACAAATAATGTTGGGACAAGTAAGGGAGAGGCTAATAAATTAAATGTAAAAATAGAATTGCATTAGAGCTCAGTACTTCGTATTGGATGAGATAATAGAAAAACAACATGGTAACATTCCCTGGGGCTTAATATTTAATATTATTGAAATAGACGGAAACGTAGGCAGTAATTTTAGTAAGGGATTAATAAAGTGGATGGAAGAGATTTGTCTGTTATGTGACAAAAAGATTTTAAATAAATTGAAAAAAAAAACTCTATGTATACAACTACTATAGGATCAACTATGATATACGGAACTGTATGTTGGACAGTTAAAACAAAAACCAAAGAATTCTTGTGGCTAAAATGAGAACCCTTAAATAAATTAATGGAGTGACGAAAAGCGATAAACCTTAGAATAAAAATATATTATAAGTGGTGTCTAGGGCTATATTTAAGTTTATGGCATCAACGAATAATAACATTAAAGAGCATATCTTAAGATCAAGACTTTAATATCCCAATACGTAGAATTACTAATCTGTTAATTCTTGGAAGAAGCAAAGCTGGAAGACAAAAGGAGACATTGGGGGAGATGCTTGGGCATTAAATGTTGCTAAAAGAGATTGATATTGGTGAAACCCAAATTTAAACTTATGGAGAAGAGCAATATGAAAAATAGCTAATAGGGATTTAGATAAAGAGACAAATGATAATCAGCAATTTATTCGGTTCAAAGTTTTTATTAACTTCAGAGTTCTTAGTGCAACTTTTTTATCAGATATAACTAATATTTAAGTCAAATTTTAGCTTCTTCTTCTTGTAGTGCCTATTTGTTTTGAATGTTGGCGACCATCATGGCAATTTGTATTTTGCAAACTGCTTCTCTAATAAGATTTGTGGTTGTATTAAACCACGTACGTCGATTTTTTAGCCAGAAAATCTTTCGTCTTTTTGCTCCTCGTTTTTTTGCTTCGCTTCGCTTTTGTAGGGAGTTTGCCCTTCGTACTTTATTGTAGGGCTTAGATAATCCTTTTCCGGTTTCAGGCGGGCTCTGTTTGAACTTTGGTAAACAAAGTTGTAAAAAGCACTTTATAGTATTTTTTGAGAGAACCTAATTAAGAAGATTCTATGTTTCTCACGTTTTCAATTAGTTAAACTAGTACCGTTATTTAACTCGAACCTTCCGATGTTCGTTAGGATCATTTACCTTCCTATATACACGTAAAGACTGGCCTATCATTTATTAAGTGGGGGTTATCTCACCTTTTTTTAGGAAGTTTGTGAAATTTTGAGAGGAAGAACATTACTTCTGGCCGGGCAGTTTTTGAGTATAGACTTCTGGCAGGGCATTCTTTGCGTGAGGACGCTTGCTCATCTCTGTGTATTTTTCTTTAAGTGTGTAGTTTCTTAATCTAATACCATATTAGATTAAATATGGTTATAAAGTACATATAATGGATTTAACTTCAGTGCTTAATACTAGTATAATATAATAAAGTCAGTGAAGTGGTATAGCAGTCATCAAGATTTATCCTAAATATTCGTAATCATATTACTACCTGTACCTACAATGTACCTACAATTATCTGGGCGAATCTGCGACGACCATTTCTTTACCTATAGTTAAGGTTAACTACTGATTAAGCATTCAATTAAAAGAACATTTCTCTCTTTCATACAAACTTTCAATCGGCCATAAAAAATTTCTAATAAATAATAATTACGAACATTTAATTATCAGTAAGAACAGTTAATCATTAAACAACAGTGCGAGACAGGTAAAACCAAGTGCGGGAGTAGATACTCTATACCATTCCTGGTGCACTTTGTGGTGGGAGAAACCGGTTCCAATCAAGGTCGAGGTCGAGGTCAAGGTCGAGGTCGAGGTCGAGGTCGAGGTCAAGGTCGAGGTCAAGGTCAAGGTCGAGGTTAAGGTCGAGGTCGAGGTCAAGGTCAAGATCGATGTCAAGGTCGAGGTCAAGGTCAAGGTCAAGGTCGAGGTCAAGATCGATGTCAAGGTCGAGGTCAAGGTCGAGGTCAAGGTCAAGGTCGAGGTCGAGGTCAAGGTCGAGGTCAAGGTCAAGGTCGAGGTCAAGGTCGAGGTCAAGGTCAAGGTCGAGGTCAAGATCGATGTCAAGGTCGAGGTCAAGGTCGAGGTCATGGTCGGGGTCAAGGTCGAGGTCGAGGTCAAGGTCGAGGTCAAGGTCGAGGTCAAGGTCGAGGTCAAGGTCAATATCGATGTCAAGGTCGAGGTCAAGGTCGAGGTCGAGGTCAAGGTCGATGTCAAGGTCGAGGTCGAGGTCGAGGTCGAGGTCAAGGTCGAGGGCAAGGTCAAGGTCAAGGTCAACGTCAAGGTCAATGTCAAGGTCAAGGTCAAGGTCAAGGTCGAGGTCAGGGTCAAGTTTGAGGTCAAGGTCAAGGTCAAGTTAAAGGTCACGCAAAGGTAAAGTGTAAGGTAACGCAAAAAGGTAAGGTAAAGATAAGGTAAAGCGCAAGGTAACGCAAAAATCAAGTTCAAGGTCACGTGAATGACATTAAAGGTCATGTCATGATCTAGTTCCAAGTCACGGTGACAGCTAATGTTAGGAAAGGTTATTAGTATAATAAAACTCTTAATAAAAAAATAATACCTTCTTAATTATTTATTACACTGTTATACATGTTTTTTAAATTTTCAAGCGCAGACTTACACAAATGACAACTGGATTGTGCCGGTGCTGAACCTTCAAGCTCTGTTCTCCACTCAGGACGATTAAAATGCACAAAACATGGCAGACGAGTCTGAACTTCAAAATCTTGAACAGCTTTTGTGGGTAATTTATACCAAGATCGTAGTAATTCCACCGATTCCACACATTTTCTAAAGTATGGTAGGATAAAATTTTCTAATTCTGCTTCTGTAAACTTGTACAAAGGTTTTCGCGGATGTTGAACCATTCATTTTGCTTTGTCACAACACTCCATTGCTATTAACCTGTTAATGTTCTTAAACATCAAGCAGAGCATATATTTGTTTTACGCTTCCACATTATTTAACTACCAGTAGGTATATAAACACATACGATTTATTTAATTAGTATGATTTTAATAATATTTGAAATTATATTCTTATAGTTAACTATTTTAAATAAAATTGTGACTTATTTTCCATTTAAGATAGTTAACTATAATATGATTTTAACCAATAAAACCAATTTGCGTAATTTCTACTTAATTAATAAATAAAAAAAGATATGGAAAGATAAATTTTATTTTTAGAAACTTAAAAACTATTATTACTACTAAATATTACTAAAAACTAAAAATAAATTACTATATACATACATAAATTACTTATTTTAGTTCTTTTAAAAAATACATTATTTTTTAAAAGAACTAAAAATTTTAGTCATATCTTCCTTTATATTTTGCATTAATGTTTCCGAATTTGTTTTCTTTTTTTTATTTTCTTTGGCATCGTTTTCAATTTTCTTCTCTTCTTTTAAAATCGCTTCATGCTCCAGTTGGCAGCTTCTAAGTCTTTCTTTCAAAATACTAAAAGACTGAAACTGACCGTAAATAATTGTATATTCATCCTCTAAGCTTTTTGAAAAGTTATTTATTCTATTTACAGTCCAGTCTTCCGTTGTTGAAGCTGCTACTGGAGGCTGCAATACATCAATTGTCTTTAAAATATCATTTAGCATATCATCTTCTAATGTGAGATCGATCTAAGACAAAAAAGTATATTAGAATAATAATTTATTTAAAAAACAGAATGTTTCCAACAATTTAAACTTTTGAATAGATTTTACAACAACATAATTTTACAAATTTGCAATTTTACTTACGAAATAATTAATTAGAAAATGGAATCGAAAGATAGAATGTTTAAAACAATTTAATATAGCGTCCGAATAATAACATATAGATTTTAAGTAAGATAAAAAGTAACTTAAAAAAATAAATCCACAATATAGAAAACAGAATGTTTAAACAATTTAGGTTTATTTTATGCGATTTAAAAAAATAATATCTAATAATAATATATAAAAATAATAAAACACTTACAGCTTTTTTTTGGTGTTGACTCTCCAGCAGTTTTAGTTCTGGCATAACTTTATCTAATTTAGCTTTCTTTACAACGATGTTTTGATGAATTTTTAAATTTTTAGGCATTTTGTTGTTTGTAGTTGTTTTGTAGTATTCAATTTTATTCGAAGACTGATAGTGTAAATGCACCTCTCTTCCAATATATATATACACCCAACCAAAGAGAAAAATTGCAAACAAGATCTACTTATTTTTAAAAATAAAATGTACTATAAAGGACGACAAGTACCAAGGTTTAGTAACTTTTACCAAGAATAAAAAATTAAATACGAAATTGCAAACAAGAACTGCTTATTTTTAAAAATAAAATAAACTATAAAGGACGACAAGTACCAAGGTCTAGTAACAAGAATAAAAATTTAATTGAATACACTTTCAGAAAACATTGACTGCAAATAAGAATTCAAAAGAAAAGCAATCCAAAATCAATGCAACTGTTTTATTTTACAGCAATATTTACATCGAAAAGTATATATGTATATTTGAAAAGAAATTGAATTTTTAAGATTCTAGTCAATGACCACTAGTCATCCTTTGTTAAAATCGCAATAGATTTGTATTCGCGTAACTGGCCTGATGCAAATAAATTTAGTTTAAAGCGTTATCTTCAAAGCATAAAACGGCGTTCTAAAAAATATATATAAATTGTAATTAAGAAAAAAAATCAGCTTTCCATAGACACCTAATACCATATATGTCTAACATAAAATTAAATTTATTAGTGTTAGGTCAATGACTATCAGAAACACATTTTACGTTCAAGACAATCGACCGCATCAACTAAGGAATTCTTGATTTACTCAACCAGGGGACCGATATGCGATGGAAAGGTTAACTTGAAAATATAGGGTGATTTAAATCGAAAATGTATATTAATATCAAATTTAAAAAAAATGAAAAATTCTTAGACTTTCACTGATAGAAATAATAGTTTTTAAAATATACAAGGTAATTAAAATTAAATTTATATATAAATTAATCAAATTAATATCTTCCAGAGTAATGTAAATGAAAGATGTATAATTATGAAAATTTTTTAGGACTTTATTGATACAAATAATAGTTTTTAACATTTACTAGACAATAAAAGTTGAGAGTACCTCTAAGTTATTCAAATTATTATCTTACAGAGTGATTCAAATGAAAGACGTTTATATAAAACTTTTAGGAATGTAAAACAATACTTTTTAAAATATACAAGGCAATTCAATTAATGTTTTTTAGAAATTCTTCTTCTTTTATGTATATATGACTCTATCTGTTTTCAGTGAGCCTTCCGTAAGCCGTATTCGTGGTCTTTTCTTGTCAGGTCATGTTTCTGTCGCACATATCATTATTGGTCTGATGACTGTTTTGTAAATCCTGCTTTTCACATCTTTCCCAATATTTTTATTTCTCCATATTGTTTCGTTCAGACAACCTAAGACTCTGCTCTATTCACTTGTGCTTCCCCTTCCGTAGCTAAATAGTTTGGTGCTTACATAAATGTCTATTCTTATAAGCTATTAAAATATTATCTCGAATAGGGTGATTCATATTAAAAATGTGTAATTAGAAAGATAAGAAAATTTATACAAAAGCAAATAGAGGGAATCTTAGCATAAATGTTGAATGGTGGGGATTGAAAGGTCAAAGTAGTATCGTAATCAAAGTCAACATAAAGGTCAAAGGTAAATGCTAAAGTCAAGGTCAATGTAGAGGTCAATGTAAAGATCAATATTGAGGTCAAGGTCAATATCCTTGACATGTGTTGTGAGATTTGCTATAAAAGGCTGAATCAACAGCGTTTTAGATTAAGTTGAAAGTCCTCACTGAAAGCATTACATTACGTTAAGTATCTCAGTCAGTAATATTTAAATTTAACTCGGTGTGTTATTTAACGGTAAGTTAAGTGTTTTAAGTGTTAACAGTTTAGTAATTTATGATACGCTTTCAGAAAAAATGGATTTAGAAGCACTAAATGAGTTTCTTCTTTTAGAAGGACAACGCAAACCTATTATAAAGTTAAATAAACTTCAAATAAATACTCCATACAAAATTTCTGAAGCCAAGGTGACTGCATCGAAATTCGGAGATTCTGTTGTTTTGGAACTGGATGATAAGGTTGTATTTTTACCACCTAGATCTACCGAGGTGCTTAAAAATCATATTTTGGAATTGGGAAATGGAAGGTATTCGCTAGTATTTATTGGAGAAAAGGACACAGGCAAAGGCAATCCGGCAGCTTTATTTAAATTTATAAAATCTTAAGGTGAGTGTTAGTTTAAAATGTCAGAAAGGCTTGCTAATGATGTGAACAAACTAGTTAAAAAGTTTTATGAAAAAAATTATGATTTTACTGTTGAGGAAATTGAATCATGGCTTAAACATGTTGATATTGCAATTAGTTTATGTTTTAAAGCATTAAAAACAAAAAATTTTGAAATCGGAAATATCCGCATGTGGCAAACAAAATTAAGTCATTTAACAGTTGTTTATAATAAGCTTAAAGAATTAAAAGATAATAATTATACAATTAAATGGGAAGATTTAGCCACAGTTTATCATGGAAGGATTAAAAGTGGCGTCATAGTAAATTTAAAACATAAAGATGTTTTACAGTTTTTAAATGATGCTATGTCTTTATTTAAAACCAAAATTTTGTTAATTTTATCTAGATTTAACATAATTAAGGTTAACAGTACCTTTTGTGGCAAGTTTATAAAAAAAACAGTAGATGATGAAGAAACGATAGATTTTAAATATTTTCACACACCATATGCAATCATTGATAAATCTACTAATTTAAATGAATGGTTTTATGAATACATAGTTGATTTTATTTTAAACAAATTATCAGAGTTTCAAGAACGTGATTCAGGTTGGGCATTAAGTAAAGTAATTTCTTTAGAGATTAATATTAATAAGTATGAAATTGGAAATGGATCAAGTTATATTCAATTACCTCAACAAATTATTAATAAAAAAGCTTGTGTAAACGTTAGAAATTTTGATGAAGCTTGTTTTTACTGGAGCATAGTCAGTGCATTACATCCAGCAAATCAATCCGTTAATCGGATCAGTTCGTATCCACATTATAGTCAAGTTTTAAATTTGGAAGGACTTGCAATTCCAATTAAATTTAATAAAATAGCAGTGTTTGAAAAATTAAATAATATTTCAATAAATGTTTATGGTTTGGAACTTATTGGAAAAAAATTTAATATAACTCCGTTACGTTTATCTAAAAGTAAATTACAGCAACACGTTAATTTGCTAATGATTCAAAATTTATATTTTCAAAAGTTAAACGATTATGATACTCCTGATCCCCTT